AGTTAAATTTCATAAGATGATACTGTTACTTGTAGGTACCCTTCTCAGTTGAAATTGAAAACTCAAATTAACTTCTCCATCCGTGTTTCGCAAAAGTAAAGGGCTTAACAGTGGAGAACAATGCTGAACTCAAATAATGCAACTAAATTGTATTCTGGTTGGTCTTCCGTACTTGATAATTACTGTCCAACTATAAACCCAAAAATTACATTTCTTAATTACCATGGCTAATCCGATTGGTCCAAATTATGCAATTTTCAAAGCGCTAGACAATGACAATCTCACACAGACATTTTGAAAGGTTGATGTTGCTTTTAACTAATGTTAAAATATTTTTTAAAATTCAATTTAAAATTTTTTTAAAAATCTTTTTAAAATTAAAGAAATAAGAAATAATTGTATTAAAAATTCAATTTTCATTGGAAAATTTTTTGCTTTCAGAAAATATTGTCCATATTCATAAAAACAAATTAAAACAAATAAAAGCATTTGAAACTAAATAATATATTTGTTTTATTGAGTTTTGTATGCTACAATTCACAGCTGATTTTCAGGCACGTTGGCCAAAAAAAAAACCCCAAAAAAACATGATTTGCATTCTTCAAAGCCTTGTGCTTTTTAACTATTGTAATCACTAAAACCGATGGTCTCAATTTCTAGAGTTTTCATAAAATTAGTTATGGGGTGTTAATAAATAAAAAAAATATTTCTGCCATGACTTTAATAAAAAAAAAATTTATAATAATTTTGATCATCTGTGAATAGTTTCTGAAAGTTTCATTAACATCTGACAATTATTTTTATTTTTTGCAAGATTTTCCAAATTAATGTGTGTAAATACAAAAAAATGCGCTAAAATTATCTATGTTATTTACTACCCCTTTTTGCGACAAAGAGAAACAAAGTTTTTAAATCAAAATTTAGAATATTCTAAAAGATGGAAAAATTTTTAAAATAATTTAAAAATAATTTAGTCTATAGTCTTCATAAAAACATAAGCATTTTGACGATAAAATTTTGTTTTCATAAACTTTTGGCATCTTTTTTCATCAGACTATGCTCTATGTTTTAGCGGATTCCGTGGAGTGACTTAGGTTAAAAAACCCAGGTTGTGTGTGTGTGTGTGTTCTTTATATATGGGATCGGATTTCTTACATTTTTCAGCCGATAAAACAAACATCCACTTTTTTTTTTTTGGCAGGTAGTATTTCTTATTGTCTTGCACACTTTTTTCTTTTATTTACATTCAGAATGCTTTAAAATTCCATTTACAAGACAATTGTTTATAATAAAATTCTATTCATCAATCGATAGACTCATAACGATTGTAAACAATGTTTTGTTTGAATTTGGGTTTGACCAATTCGTAAAAAAAAAAAAAAAAAAAACTAATTAAGACATGCGTGTCCGTCAACCTAAACAATAATCTTTGTCAATTTTATTTTTCAGTCTTTATGATGGTCGATACTTGATCTATCTTTTACTGTTACATCCCCGGGCATTATTGTAAAAATTTTTCCTTTCTCTTTTCATAAAACGTTTGAATCTCAAAAGTTTGGTTTTGTTCTATTTTCTCACTCCGTGTCATGTCACTGAATTACTCTTTCTTTCTACAGTGGTAATTACTTATCTTTTCAAACAAACTTAAACAATTGAAATACCAACGGTATAAACTGTACTTGTACTAATAATTTTATCAATTTCACCTAACTTGATTGTTTCTACCTGAATTTCTGAAATGTGGCGTTATTATATATACATGTATTCTTTGTTGTTTCGGTGATTGTACAATCTGGTTCTCATCAGGTGATTCCAATCTGGATAACCTCCAAGGAATTTTAAACTGAACACTTTATTTAATCTATAGGAGTAGTTGTTCTCATTCCACTTGTGATAGGCTTATCCCATTTCTATTGAGTCCAAGTATATACTGCTCGGCCAAGGGATTGAACACTCAATTACTATGTCGCCAAATTCATGAACCAATGCTTTAATCCTCTAGGCTTTTGTCCTGAAGGTCAGAGGGTACAATGGTTAAACCATTGTGATAATAACAACAAAGATGAGGACAATAGTTCACATTTAAATAAAGTAAATCAATATTATTTATGAATTTGTGTGCCAACTCGGAGAATTCTAATTCTAATTTTAACAAATTAAACAAAACATTTACCATTTTTCTTTTAATCATTTAACCCCAAGCAGGGCAATAAAGCCACTGAGATGCAAGAGTTGCTGAGTGTTAGTGAGTATGTGATAAAAAGAAAAACACTATTAAGGAGAGAGAAAAATAAAAGAATAAGAATTAAGGCAGAAAGTAATGACTGACATTGCATTTAAATTTTTGAGGCTCAAGTCAACAGGAAATCAAGAAGCCAGAAGAGAGTTCCACAAGTGAGAAGTGTGAGAGAAGAAACTGTTAGCATAGAACTTCCAGTTACATCTAGTCAAATCAACTGTAAAATGATGAGACCTTGCTGCCAATCTAGTACTGTGTTTAAATTCATAAAGTCTAGGTAAGCATAGATGAAAAGTTCATCAGAACAATTACTGTGAAATTATTTATAGAAAAGGCACAGAGAAACTACATTAAAGCTGTGGGAAAGCGACTGAAACCAAGATGTCAGGTGAGGGCCAATAACATTGCAGATTCTTTGGATTTTATCAAGAATCTTTAAATGTATAGAAGGTGCACCAGAGCAGATGTGGCAGTAATATTCAAAGTAAGGACAAATAGTAAATTTATAAGATAGATTCTGGGGAGAAAATTTGTCTAGCATGACACAACAGAGCAACTTTCCTAGCAGCAGATCTAGCAAACTGATTCAACATAATCTTTCCATGTCAGTGGAAAGTGTTAGCCTGAGAAGAAACAATGAGTCATTCTCCAGAAGGTTAGCATCAGCCATACTGATGGAAGGCAGAAAGGGTTCTCTTCATAATTGTAGAATTGAGAAGAATAACTTAAGGATTAAGAAGGAAAAAAAACAGCCACATTGGTTTAGATATTTTACATGTGGACTATTGTCCTCATTTTTGTTGTTAAACTCGTAGATAAGTGTTGGTTTGTGAATTTGATGATATGGTATTTATGATTTCAAACCTTGGGCCAGCTCTTTGTATCGCTAAACTTCTGAAAGCGCTAAATGTCTGTGGCTTCACGGTTCAAGTAAGAACAACCAAATCATAAATGAAGCAATGGTCTTGTTGAAATTATTATTATTATTACTACTCCATCCTGGGTAAATCGATAAACTATATCCGACAAGAAGGCCTTTCATCAGAAGGTTTTGAAGAGCATGGAACCACCTCTTAATTGCTAGGGTTCCCTGGTCCACCCTGACCTGGGGTGGTAGCATCTGTTAGGGTCCCAGCTATGGGCAAATAGTTAACCCCTAAACTGGGGTCAAACCACTATGAAAGTATAAAAATATGTTTTAATACCAGCAATACTTTTTTGGAAAAATTATTACCAGCAGTACATTTTAAAAAAAAAAAGAATTATTACCAGCAATAAAAAAAACTTGTCTGCATTAATTAAACCATTGAGGTTGATATGCAGTAAAACGAAACAAACCAAACCATTATTACTACAACAACAACAACAACATTTTAAAAGACCCTCATTTGTAATTCTGTTAGGTATTTTTTGTTAACAGAGAGATGAAATTTAAATTTTTGTTATTGTATTATTCCAAAATTTTAACACATTCACGGATAGCTATTAATGTCAACAACTGAGCACAAATAGTTATTAACTAAAAATTAGTAATTACTATATAATATTATCGATGTACAAGAATGTTGTTTTTGATAAGTTAAAAAATAACCATAAATATGTAAAAAATGTGTATATTGTCGAAAATACCTTTCTCCATAATATAACTATTTGTGTTATGTTATAATGCTTGTTACCTAAACAATAATAATACTGAATAAAATATTTTAAACATTAAAGTATATTTAATCACATCTCCCCAATAGCTGTAACAATCTATAATAAAGAATTTAAAAAATGCTTTACTTTGTTTTCAAGATATTTTTCTTTCCTGTTATCCTTCCTGCGATTCTTATAGCCTCACTTGTCACAGAAATTCTGTCAGATTCCTTCCAAGAACTGATAAGACTGCAAGGATGAAGCCATTTTTATGAGGTTGTATGGCTTTTGGGATTTTTTCGAGGAAAATATACAAAATGGCTTAAAAAACATTATTAAATATAAGAAAATAGAAAATAAAAACTAAAAACAAATTAGCGAGAAATAATTTTTCAAAAAGCAACCTCCATTATACAAAAGATAATTCTATCTCCTATTTTCAAAACAATTGGAAAATCTATAAGAGAAAAAAGTGATTTTCTGTCCATCACTCATTCATGTGTTTGTGACTCTTTGTCTGTATGTGTATGTCTGTGTTGTGTGTGATTTAAGTGTGTTTGTGCTATTTCATGTATACATAAGCACAGTTTAATTAAGTGTGAAATAAGACATTGGAATAATACATTCCCCTCCAACTTATCTTGGACAACACCTACCCTGGGCTGAACAATAAAATCATAAATTTGGAAACAAAGAGAAAATCAGATAATTATAAGATTTTATTAATCGTTTTTTGAAATTATTCATTAATAAATACAATTTTAATTTTTTTTTTTTAGGTCTGTTATTGAATGAATAAAAATGTCTACTTCTCACTGTACATACACACACACACACACACACACTGTAGACTCTCCTGTCATTGATTGATGTGGGCTGTTGACCCACGCCTACTGGGGAATCTTTTATGATGTATGAGGGTCAGGCCACTCAGTTCCTAGGAACTGACAGCCAGACAACATTCACATATGATTTGATTATAGGGGTGAAGGCTTTATGCAGAACCAACCACACTTTTTGAAGGGCCAAATACAGAGACCTGGTGCACTATGTGCCAAAGGTCCCCAAATGACCCTCCGCTTGTTTTGAATTCAGAGTTGTCCTCTCCTAGACCAGTTGCCATCCAAGGCTATAGAACCCAGTCTGTTCTGCTATTTACCCATATGTTAATGTATATTTAGGCAGCAACCTTCCTTTTAAACATCTTTCATTAAATATTACAGACCAGGAAAATTTAATTAATTTTTTATTTAGCTTTTCCAGCATCTCTTACATTTTTCCATTTGGTCGGAGTAAGGAAATGGAAAAAAATTGTCCTTTGTTCCAAGCACTTTTGGCCATTTCTTTAGCCATTTTCAAGGGCGTTTGTTTTATATTTCTAAATAATTGATGGATTTTTATTTATTCAATTAATAGATATTATTACTTAAATGTTATTTTTAGGGGTTACGCATATAAACAGTATATTTATTTATTTTATCTTCCAGCCTGAATATTTAAGAAAAATACGCTCTCTCTGGTGGGATTTGAACCTGTGTTACCCTTGGTAGAAAAAACCATCATTTGATTTGATGTGCTATAGCGCAAATTTGAAAAGGACACTATTCAGTTTTGCTTAAGTGTTTAACTAATAAATGGAACATCTACTTTAATATGGGCATCCACGAAAATAACATTTAAGATATATATATAAAAATATTTTATATATATATATTTTATATATATGTATATTTTATATATATATATATATATATATATATATATGTTTATTTATTTATATATATATATATATATATATGTATGTATTTTATATATATATATATATATATATATATATATATATATATATATATATATATATATATATTGTTAAAATCTGCCTATCCAACCTCTTAGGTTTTTCCAACTTCCAACTAAATTGTTACATATCAGAATTAAAATTAGTAAATTTTCCAAAGTACATTTTGACTCTGGCTACAGTTATCAAAAATTACATGTTTAGTCTCTTTAGGAAAACATGTTTAACAAATTCTGATTTAAAAATACAATGAACTGTGGAAAGTTTATCAATTTGAATTTTTCTATCAAACAATTTATTTGAAAGTGAGACAAACTTAATAAGTTGGACAGTCTTTGTCAGTGTTGTTTAACAGAATTTGTTTAAAATAATTCTTGCTGCCTAAATACACCTTATTTAAAATTATATATATATATATATACAAGTATATAATTGATATATATGGAATGAATTCCAATAACCAACAATTACTATTCTTAAAAGAGTGCTCAATACAAAGTAGAGCAGATATAATTATTTTTTATAAAAAAATTATAACATAAGTATGTTATAAAATCACTACAAAAATAGCCATTTTGTTTCAACACACTCTGTGTCTTATCAAGTGATGATGTTGAAAAGAAAATAAATGGTTTTAAAAGTTTCAGATTAATTAACGATCCTACACTAGGGGGAAACATTGTTACACCTGTCTCACCTGTCTTTTCTCAAAATCAAAATAAATCTGCAAATATTTTCACTTTTATCTTATTTTGAATTAAATTTATTTTTTCTTTTAATTCTCATTTTTATTCAAACTTAAGCAAAATTTTATTTTGAGAATAAACTGGATAATTTTAAAATGGTGTTATTTTAATTTGCATTTTTGGTTTTCTATTCACAGTTCCAGTTTGTGAATTCATTTTTGTCCTTATTCTACATTGCTTTTTACCTGCAAGACATGGACCTCCTCAGACAGGTGAGTTAAATTAATTGCATCACTTCCTCTGGTATTTTACAAATAAAAAAAAATTCAAATGTGTTGATAAATAAGTAGAAAACACAATATTAGACTTATATATATATATATATATATATATATATATATATATATATATATATATATATAGGTAACTATACTTGTCTCAAAAAAAACCTTTGAATTTTTGACTTGCCAATAATCAAATCAATCTCAAAGGAAAAAAAGGTTTTAAAAAGAAAGAGCTAGGAACATGAAAGTCTGTTGAAAAAATCTCACAGATACAGGTTCAAAGCCCAAAGAAAAAAAAAACGACACGAGTAAACAACTAACTAAAAAGAGCTCAATACAACCGTAGAGCAGACCTAGTCAAACCTAGTAAGCCAGACAAACCTACCCAGGTTTCACCTAAGCAGATTGTCAGGAAAAGCTGGCTAAAGAAGCAAAAGAGAAACGGCATATTTATATATATATATATATATATATATATATGGTGTTGTGTATTTTGGTATTAAAAATGACTGACCAAGTACTTCTGTTAAGTTTTTAGACTCAGCATGTATAGAAATTCAGTCTTTCTTATCAAATTGTGTAATGAATGTTATCTTGAATGGCCACTCTTCTAGATCATTTCACATTAATGCTGGTTTTCCCATGAGCTGTATCCTTAGACCTACCTTGTTCCTTATTTTCATCAATGATCTTCCTGGTATCTATGCTGATGACACAACTATTTACTCCTGTTTTAACAGCAAGTCAGAAAGATGAGAAAAAGTCAAATTGGCAGGTGATCTCAAAAATGAAAATCTATTGTCAATTGGGAGAAGAAATGGCTTCTTAATTTTAACAGCTTCAAAATGAAACTGCTGCCTTTTAATAATCTTGGAGAAGCTTTTCTGTCTTCCATTATCATAGCTGATGCTAACCTCCAGAGGAACAACATCTTCTTCATCTCATGTTTTCCACTGACATGAAATAGAAGAATTATATTGAATTAATTGCTAAGTCTGATGCTAGGAAAGTTGGTTAATTTTGTTATGCCTGACAATTTTTTTTACCAGACTCTATCTGGTACATTTATAAGGCTACCATTTGTCTGTCAATTGAATATTGCTGCCACATCTGGCCTGGGGCTTCAGCTGTATATCTAGAGATTCTAGACAAAATCCAAAAAAGAATCTGCAACATTATTGGACCTGACCTGGCATCAGTCACTTTCCCATCACAATTTTCTATAAATATTTTCATTGTAATTGTTCAGATGAGCTTTCCTCTTTGGTACCACAAGTTCATGAATTTAAGTGCAGTACTAGATTGTCAGTTAGGTCTCATAATTTCACTGTAAGTTCTATGCTAATAGTTTTTTCTCCTGTACTTCTCACTTGTAGAACTCTCTTCCAGGTTCTTGCTTTCCTGAAAACTAGGATCTGCAAAAATTTAAATGCAACGTCAAATGATGTCTTCTGTCTCTCTGAATCTTGTTCTCTCATTTTTCTCACACTTCGCATCTTAAGGGGCTTCCATTGCCTGATGAGCCTAGAATGCAAAATATATCATTTTGATTATTTTTACATTAAGTTAAAAATTAATTTATGTGCTAGCTGTTGGCATGAAGTTGATTTTTTTTCTCGTATGTGTTTGTGTACACTTGTGTGTGTTTATGTGTCAAATGTCAAGGTTATTTCTCTTTGTCATCATTTCCTTGTCTCCTTCTACTGTTTCCTTGTTATTTTTCCTTCTTTTTTTCTCCCTTTTGGTTCTGAGTGTCAAGGACAACATAACAATGTCATTTTCGGTATTAAAGTCAACAGGACTTTTGTTTTTAGGGGAATTTGTTTTCTCAAATGTTCTGGGGTTTTCTTAAGTTGTTCTTTGATAAATAAAGGTATATTCTATTTTGTCACCTTTCAATTCTTATTTGAATAATTTATTTGATTTAAAAAAAAAATTAATGCTTCTTTTTTATTATTTTTTGTTTAAATAATTTATTTATTTCATTTGTTTAATTATTGCTTAAATGGCAAAGTAAATATTTGTTTATATGTCTTTGCTTACTGATTATTTCATTTTTCTTATTTAGTAGTTTGTTGTGAGCTGATCTGTACAGGTGTCTCCTGAAATGGCCCACAACAAACATGGCACACTCAGAGAGTGAGTCCACCAAAAAAAAATGAAAAGAAACAAGAAAAACTGATAAATATGTACAGAGAAATAATAATGATATTAAACAACAAACGGTTACAAATTACAAAGATAATAACATGTGTATACAAATGAACATCTAAAGTTTTTGGTCATAAAGTGAGTGAAGGTGCATACATATGTATGTGTGTGTGTTTGTGTGCGTGTGTATGTACAGTTCATGGCATTCCCACAAAGGGAAAAACGCAAATCTCTACAAAAGATTTACATTGTTGCAGTCACAGCTGAAAAATGAGAAGAAAAACAGAGGGTGTCGAAAGATATCACCAAGTATTTATAAAATTGGAGAATGCCCTCTACGATCAGTATGGAAGATTATGAAATTAGGGGGAGTTAACTTCGACAAATTAGTCAACAAGGTTTTAGAGAAAATGGAAACAAAAAAGAAAACTTAAACCTAATATCAGAAAGTGATAGATGGAATTTTTGGGGTACATAATATGGAAGGAGGGCTTAGAAAATCTGTTACTCACTGGACAGAAAAGAGTGACGGGGGGAAACAACACATAACAGACATGACAAGCTTGGAAAAATGGATGATGGAACAGGTTTTAGGAATAAGGAAAAGACAGAATTTATTAAAAGCTACAATGAACAGGAAATAGTGGAGAACCATGATCGTCTATGTCCTGAGAGGACATGATGCATAAAGAAGAATTTTAAGACATTTTTATGTTTATACATTCTTTTTATAGATACAAATATTTAAGTAAATGCTCTGTTTATAATAAACAGTATTAACAACATTTACCGGCCTGAATATATGAGAAATTGTCATAGAAAATATGCATCCTCTGACAGGCATCGAACTTGTATCCTATACGGAACCGTCATATAGCCTGATGTGCTTTTACCGATTTTGGCACAGAGGAGCGTTTGGTTAAAAAGGTTGATTTTACTGTTTTTAAACTAGAATTTTCCATGATTTTCTTACGTACATGTTGTTAATACTGTTTAAAATAATTGTTGAACTTTGTCCATTTCATAATAAAGAAGAATATATATAATTTCTTTGAGAAGTCTGTTTTGTTACAATTATGTTATATCCGAATAAAGTGTCGCTGCCAACACTTGAGTTTGAACACAGACCGACAGTGAATAAACACAGTAGACCACATGACCATAGAGGAAATGCATATATCTCGGAAATAGCTGACGACTAACGATCGCTATTTCTAGTCTATCCTCTATTACTATTCGGATTGTTATTTCTAGTCTCTCCTCTATCCAGATCACTATACAGATTACCGTTCAAGTGAGACTTATTTGAAGATGTCTGAGATCAGCATTGGTCAATGATGTACTATAGTTGTATCTATGATTACAAAGTCTCTTTTACAACAAGCATTACAAAAGTGACAAGTATTCGTTGGCATCACAAAAGTGGCAATGAGTGTTCATTGACATCACAAAAAATTACTAACAAACTATTTTTTGTATTTTTTGTCACTAAAGCCTCCACAACTCTATTATTCTTTCTTTTTTTTTATCTTTATTTTGCTTATTTTTTGTTATTTCAGCAACTGATGGCATTGTTAATAGTTCGTCAGGTCATTGGAAATGTTAAAGAAGCTTTGCTGCCCTACCTCATGTGGCACCTGAGGATGATTAAGGCGGGCCTCATCATCACGGCAGCCGAATCACCAGAGAAAGAGAGCAGCGAACAGACTCCACTGGACAACAATGTCGCTACTGGCGCTCCAGCACCAGGCGACTCTACTGAGAGTACAGAGAATCTCATTAATGGTAATTTAGATCCAAGTTCCAAACTCAATGAAGAGGTACAAAATGAGAAGGCCTCTTTGAAGACGGAAAGTGGCTTGAAGAACGTGGGAGGTGATTTGCCTGAAAATCTGGAACTCCCAACAAGGAAACCATCTTCAAACTTGTCCCCAAGCCAAGCTGAAGTGGAGAGCACGATGAGCCAGGTGCGTATCAAGAAATTTATATAGACAGCGTTTTGTTTTTGTTAAGAGCTCAGGGTTAATAAATGATTGTGATGGGAAAATAATGAAAAGAAAACTGTGAATTTAAGCATTCTACTAGATTGGCAATTAGGTCTCACTTTTGAAATAACTAAATGTAACTATAATTTTTATTATAATAGTTTCTTTTCCTACTCATCTCGTCTGTGGAACTCTCTTCCAGTTTCATGCTTCCCTGCCATTTGTAATCTTCAAAAATTTAAATGCAACATCAGTTGCCATCTTCTGCCTTTCTGAAACCTAACTCTTAATTGTCCTTTCTCCTCAAAAACGTTTTTCTCATTTTCTTTTCACTCTTAGTAAACCCCTTGTCTTAGTGGCATTATTACCTTGCTTGTAGTGAAATGAAGATTAAAAAGATTTTTTGTAAATAGAAGTTGCCTCCCCTTAGAGATTTAACAGTAATAATCTCACATTTTTTTTATTATAAATTCTAATTAAAAATGAGTGACTTATTAAATATATTAATTTTAGAACAGAGTCCTTCAAGAAAATGATTGTGGCTTGATCAGTTTCTATGAAAAATGGAAAAAGAATTGTAAGAAGCAGACGATAGTAAAAAAACTGCAAACATTAAAAGATTTTGTCAAACAAAGATGTGTTGTTTTGTCTTTTTTTTTTTTTTCTTGGAAATTTGAGGAAAAATGCAGTCATTATTTTAGGGAATAAAAAGAGAAAAAACATAAAGAATTTTCACATATGTTTTTGGATGTGAGTTTTTGGGTTTTGGCCAGACTTCTTGTTTATTTGAGTTGAAGAATTTTCAAAGAGAAAGAATTTTGTTTATGTCTAATTATTTTATTTTATATTATTAAAAGAATGATATGAGATTAAAATTGTTGAGTTGAAGAATTTCCAAAGAGAAAGAAAGAATTTTGCTTGTGACTAATTATTTTATTTTATATTATTTTTGGGAGATCAACCACACCTTACAAAAAAAAAAGAAGTAATATGAATATATTTTAAAGCAAGAAAAAACATTTTAAGCATGAATGACTGAAGGAATATTTCCACCAGAGAAATTTGGGGGAAGATGTTTTGTTGCCAGAGACCTTTCATAGAAACTAGAAACTATGATAGTTTGCAGTTTTTGCTGCTGATGATGCTGTATAGGTCTGTTCATCTTATAATTTTCCATTTGATTTTGTTGGTGATATTGTTTTCTTTTTGGGTCCATTTGTATTTTAATAGGGACATGTTGTTGGTATATTTTTTTTTATGTCAAAGGACATTTTGTGATTATATCTTTCTTTTAGAATTTTTTCTATAGCACCTACATAAATTTTTTCATCAGTGTTAATGTTATTTGTTATGGTAGCTTTGTATATTATGTTATTGGTTAAACATTTGTTATTAAGTGGGCAATTTTCTCTGTTTCTACAATTACATTTGATGGTATTATTCTACTGATTTTTATTGATTTTGTTGAGTATTTTTTTTATTTTGCTTTGTTATTATTTTTTTTCCATGTTATCCATGCAGTTGTAATTAATTTTGATTGTATTTTTACTGATAATTTGCTGTTTTTAGAGAAATGTTTGTCAATTAGATTGAAGAATATTTTGCTTATTTTTGTTTTTATTGTCTTGTTGGGGTGGGGTTGAACCAAATTATATTTTCTTTTCTGTGGTTTTTGTTTTCCTTTTTATATTCTAGTTTGTTTGAACATCCACTCTTTCTTAGGGCTGATTCATATGTTTTTCTATTTCAATGAATATTTTTAAGTTGCTAGAATTTGTTGAAAGTCTTTTATTTATAGATATATCAGTATTTGTTTGAATACAATAGTAGGGATGGTTGAAATATATTGGGTTGTTATTTGATTTTCTTTAAGTTTTGTATCTTCCGTTGTTTAAGTTGAAGGTTCTGTCGAGGAAATTTCCTATTTTGTTGTTGGATTTTATCTTGGGTGTGAATCCTAGGTTTTTGAAAGATTCATATCTTTCCCAAGAGTATTTGCATGTGAATGAATATAACTGGATTAAATAAACTGGAATTGAAACCTGGCTCTCTGGGTTCTCATCCTAAGATGCTATCCATTACACCACCTGCACATCCAATTGATGATATAAATTATTTAACAGAAAATGAAAATACATTAACTAGCATATTGGTATTATAACCGATTGCTACTAAGTTTTCGGGAACTCATTTATTGTGACATTGTGTCAAAATAAGTTCAGGAAACATAATAAATAAGTAGGTATCTAAATAAAAAATTCTGTAAATTTCATTAGTCCATCCATCCATCACACTAAAATAGCCTTACATTGACCGATCAAAACCACATTTTGGGGGAGAAGTGCAAACAGGTAAGGGGGGTACAAAGTTAGTTTTACTAAGGTGTGTAGCTTAGTAAAAAAAATTTTCATTCATTTTTTTGAAAAATTAAGATTTATTATTTAACATACAAAATACATTATTTTAAAAACAATTTAATGATTAGAATAACAAATATTTATTTAATAAAAATACAATAGTTTTCTTGCATATCTTTTCTTTAAGTTTTTATATGCAAGTATCCAGTTTCTATTTTGCCTTGTGTTTGCAAGAACTATAAACAAATCAGAAGACCAAATGCTTCAAATAGTTCGAATTTGGCTCCAGAAAGAAATATTTACGCATGGCCAGTTGTATGTTGCATGCTCAAGAATAAGAAATCCTAAGAATTTATTCTTTGCTGTTAAAAAGGAAAAAATAAATTTTCTTAAAAAATATTGTTTACCTTAAAGTCCTATAGAATTAAAGAAATTATTAAACTGCAAAGTTGGGTTTTTGTCAAAGTATTTTTTTTAAAAAAGTCAGGTTATTCAAATTTCATTGATTGGTTTGCTAAATTGAACAAAACGTAGAGTTTGTAAAGCTTAACAAAAATTGCTAGGAATAACTTCAACAATACTAAATATAGTGTCAAAATTAAAAAAAAAAATTAGTTTAAAAAAAAACTCCCATTGTAACCTATGAAGGGAGAGAATTGGTTTACATTTTTTTTAAATGACAAAACCTTGTGATTCTTAATGGGATACAATTGTTGAATAGCTGTAAATAGTAATTTTGAATTGAAACAGATTGCAAAAGTGAGGGTAAGTAAAATAAATTCATTTTTGGAATTAATACCTTGTTTTTGTTTTTACAGTATGAAGACACCTTTGAAGATTATCTGGAAATGTTCATCCAATTTGGTTATGTGACTCTGTTTTCTTCAGCATTTCCGCTGGCTGCACTTTGTGCTCTTCTTAATAACGTCATAGAAATTCGATCAGATGCTTTCAAATTGTGTATGACTTGTCGGCGACCTTTTGGCCAGAGAGTAGAAAATATTGGGACGTGGGCTGTAAGTAAAAAAGTTCTTTTTCTTTTCCACCCTGTCACACCTATGAACTGGAATTCGGAAAAGAATCTGTAAATTGCTATCGAATGACCTATAACAAATTCCAAAATCTTCATTAAAATATTCCACTATCCTCAGCCATTATCAAAGAGATTTTTTGTGTTATGTCAGTCTCATCATTTTTCAAATATTGTGTCTTCACATGGTATGTTAGATTTTCAAAGCGTCTTCACACTTCAGCTTGTATGGTGTCATTTTCTTTATTTTATGAAATCTATTTGGTGTGTTTGTTACTAAATTTGATAACATTTTATTGATATCTGTCATTATTTCTGAGATGAGTTATTGCAATTATTTACATCAGACTGTTGTCCTCATCTTTATTTCCATATTCATGATGTTTAATTTTAAAAAAATGGACAAAATAAAGGGTTCAGTTCAAAATTCTAGTCACCTGAAGAAGTAAATATCGTAATGTCGTAAATATGGCATCAAAGTTGAGGACAATTGTTTTTTTTTTGTTTTTTTTTTACAGTTTGTAATATTGTATTTTGTATTTTTTAATATAACACAAAACAAAACTCTTTGATAACAGTATTGTGCTAGCCCAGCCTTATTTTGGGACTGGCACGAATAAGAAGAATACTTTATCAAAATGTAATAAAGATATTAAATACAATGTCTTTTCCTATATAGAGAAAATATGTCAGGTGGATTTACTCATCTGGTGGAGTGAAATAGGGCTAGGTAGCTTGTACCTTTTATCCCCTCGGCAACTGGTACCATGGACTTACCCATCTGGTGGAGTGAAATAGGGCTAGGTAGCTTGTACCTTTTATCCCCTCGGCAACTGGTACCAGTGGTGGTGGAGAAAATTTCTAATGTGTTATTTCAGAGCATGTCCAGTTCCTTCTCATTCATACAAAAAGTAGATTAGTAAAGTTAATGATATAAATGGTAAAAAACATCTTCACAAACAAATTTATTAATGTTACATTAACCCACGAACCTCTTGATGAATGTTTTTAATAACTTCAAGTTGTATAAGGTCTTTTTTTATTCTGCTACCACTTTCAGCTGTACATACAGCCATCCTCAGGCATGGAAATTAATTTGTTTTTTTAGTAAATCCAGGTAGTAGCGAGATATGAAAGATTAAATACGAATCAAATTATGTTTTTTTTTTTAAAAATTGTTATTGTTAACGGATAAGAAATTTTTGGGGCCGTGCAGTTGCAATGCTAAGGTTGAATTTTTTTTTTTTTTTTAAATTTAAGAGAGTGTGTTTTTTATTAATATATATATATATATATATTCTCCTTGTTGGAGAAGAATTATTTGGTTATTTTTAATGATAAATTTTTCCAAATTGCAAATAATTCTTCTCTGACAAGGAGGAAATTCCTCCAGAAATTTTCTGAAGGTCAAGAAATATGGTCGAAGCTTTCAACTTTAAGTCATCATCAGTGTAGGTAAAGATAATTGTTGAGTTTCATAGGACTAGTGACATGAGGTGTAATGTTTTTTAAATACATTTGAAAATATGGGCTCTTAATTGTTTTTATTTATAGATGTTTGTTTTTGTTGTATGTGTATTACATTGAGGATTTAAGTCTGTTTTTACTGTTTGATTTTACTAGTATTTTGGTATTGTTTGTGAGTAGCTGTCTCATGTTACTATGATCCTTATGCTGCTTATTAATGTGTTGTCTGATGGCACTCTAATTTGATAGGTGGCAGGTGAATCTCCATCATTTGAAAAAGTTCAAAATTAAATTTGACACAAAATATGTTGTCTTTAATAATATTTGCCTTATATATATATATATATATATATATAATATATATTTGTGTGCGTGTGTGAATATATCTCAGGTATATATATATATGATATAAAATGGCAAAAACCTTTCGCAAACAAAATTTTAAAGTTGCATTAACCTAAATTGTTCAATAAATAGAGTAATGACATTATTCTATTTATTGAACAATTTAGTTCATGCCACATTGACTGATAAACTCCTACAACAAAAAAATTCTCAAATTACCGTATTAGTAATAAACGCACACTCTTAAATTTTCAAAAAATTCAACCATAGCATTGCGACTGCACACTCCAAAAACTTTTATCTGTTAACAATAACACATTTCTAAAAAAAGCATTTCAATTCACATTTAATTTTTTCGTCTCTGATGCTGATTTTTCTAAAAACAAAATAATTTCCATGCCTGAGGATGACTGTATGTACAGTTGAAAGTACTAGCAGATTAAAAAAAGACCTTATACAGCTTGTAGCTATTAAAAACAAGGATCATAACATTCATCGAGTGGTTCATAGGTTAATGCAACTTTAAAATTTTGTTTGCGAAAGGTTTTCGCCATTTTATATCATTAACTTTACTAATCTATTTTTTGTATGAATGATTCATTGTACTATATATATATATATGCGAGTTCCTTTTTTGAGAGAACAAATTACAATAGACTAATTTCTTCTCTAGTCTCCTATCCCATCTTCTAGTTAAATAAGTTCAAAAAGTAAAAGAGGATGATAAAAGTATTGTTAGTAACACTATACTCGTTGCATAAACACGTACAGCCATAAACAAGAAACAGCTAAACATCTTATAAGCATAAACAATTGAAAAGATGCACATTCACTATGTTTGTATTTTATTATACAATACTAATATGTGAATGTTACATGCATTATTATTTGATACAGTTAAGTAAAACAGGAGTTTTATCAAAATCATGTTTATTTTAAATGCAGTTTTTGACTACATTAAATGGTGAGAAGTTTGGTCAATGGTGTGGCCAGGGCCAGCAGTACATAGGCTAATTTTATATCTCATGTATGATGCAACCCTCTTAAAATTAGCTTCAAAATAAGGTCTTCAAAAGTCACATGATATGTTAGTATATACGGTATATATAAGGGAAAATGTATGACATTTATTAATTATCACAGTGTTGGGGGTGGATATCTAATAACAAAAGTAATGGAAAGAAAAAGAATCTAAATGAAATCAGATTATATATAAAAAACAAATTGGTAAAATTAATATTTTAAATTCCCAACATTTCTTGTGCATGTGTCATTGAACCAACATAAGAAATTTAATCCAATGAAGTTCTTAAGAATGAAATGCATCACATGAAAACTTTTCCCACTTTGTCATGTTTTCCCCTAATATTCTTCTTGATATATAAAAATTTATATATCATTATCTCTCTCTCTCTCATATATATATATATATATATATATATATATATATATATATATATAAAGGCTCAAACATTAATATTCCATGGTTATAATTTATTACATTGGAATCGTAATCATGATCCAAATCATCGGACCTACAAATCCAAAAAGAAATTGGAAAATTTTCTGATTTCTTTTTGAATTTGTAGGTCTGATGAATTGGATCGTTATTACAATTCTAATGTAATAAATTATAACCATGGAATATTAGAGTTTGTTTTTATATTATTATATTCTTACTTGTCCGAAACATTGTGTTCTACCTGGATTCTATTCTCTTGGGAATTTATATATATATATATATATATATATATATATATATATATATATAAAAAAATTTTATATATCGTTATCTCATATATATGACTCTCTCAACTCTAAATTTAGTAGAATAACATACACTCTTCAGGAGATTTTATGATAAATTGTCATATATATAATGTTTTGATCTAGGATAAGAATTAACAAGCTAACTACTCTAGGGATATTGATCTTTATTGGATCATCTATGATCGTCCCAGAGTGACTAAATTTAGTAAATGTCAACTGACTTTTTTCTTAATTCGGATAATTGTGTTGTTGGTGTTCAAGCCTGATGAAGAAAGAAAAAAAAAAATGAAAATTTTGAATGCTGCTTTTCAAGACAAGTTTGTCATCTTTCTTTGGAAGTTTGGCACAACACAGTCTTCTTCCTAATCATTTGTCTCCTTTCTCTGTGCTTCAGCTAACTAGCCATTTGTTATATAGATTGTTCATTTTGGTTGGTTGGTATTTTGCAGCATATCAATCTCTATGGATTATTTAATACTGAAATCTAGATATTTTGTACACCATTTTATTTTTGAAGGTAATAATGGCTTAGTGATACAAGACTTACTAAGTAACCCATAGCTGGGGGAAGAAGAGGTATTTGTGTGTAAGTGAATATAATGAGCCCAATTGGAATTGGAACTTAGTTAACTGACTAACAATTCCATACCATTATCCATTATGCCATGCCCAAATCCAAGTTTACAGCACCTGGTATTCCCAAGCAGTCACCCATCTAGGTACTGATCAAGTTTGATGTTGCTTAACTTTGGTGATCATTTATACAGCTGAAAACTAGATGCTACACACTTTGAAACAGGGCAAGCAATAACTGAGCAGTACTAAAAAAAAAAACAAAATGAGATTTTGCTAGACATAGTGGAATGAGAACAATCTACCCTGGTAAATTCAATAAAGGGTTCAGTTCAAAATTCATCAAAGGTTATATGGATTGACTGATATACCTGATGAATGCTCGATGAATGACCGAAACAGTGTGATGGTAACAATGGAAATGTGGACATTACTCTGACTGTAAATAATAATAAAAAATAATTTTTTATTTTCTTGTTTTCATTTTATGATTGTATTCAGAATGAGATTTTTCTTCATTTCTCATGAAGGAAAGAAATTTTTGCATTGAAATTTTGTTCCTTTTTTAACTTCTTTGTTTTTCAATCTTCAGGATGCACTCATGCTAATGGGAGTATTAGCTGTTATTGTCAATTGTGCCCTTATTGGTATATTTGGTCACGTGAGGCGGATGGTGCCAGGTTTAGAAGGGACGTCATATTTGCTTCTAATTATTATACTTGAGGTAAGAATTACATCACCAAAGATCAATCTGTTTCATGCTAGACACAATTGTCAGGCCTGACGATTGCTTCTAGCATGAAACAGCCTGTCACCTCTAAGTGTTGACTTCTATGTTCACTTTTATATATATATATAATTATAATACAAAAGAAACAACCACTATTTTTTTTTTGTACTCATTTCACTCCAAGCAATTGTCCTGGGTATGATGATAAACTTTATCTGGCAGCAAGGCTTCTGCTCAGGAGGTTTTGAGGAGCGTGGAACCACTTCCTAACAACTGACATTGCATTTATATTTTTGAACATCTAAAAAAATAGAATGCAGAAGACAGTTCTATAAGTGAGAATTGCTAGAGAAGAAAGAAACTGTAAAATGATAGGACCTAGCTGCCAATCTAGTACTCCACTTAAATTCATAGTCTAGGTACCATAGAGGAATGCTCATCATGATTTTATGTGTATAAAATATTTAGGAACTATTCTATATGATGTGATGGAATATCCTGTCACCCCCATGAGTGACTACACTATAGGTAGTAACTACCTATAAGTATCTGTAAGTCAACGGACTACAGAGTCTAGCTGGGATCTATTGAGTATGACTCAGACTTATATGAAAACTACCAACCTTCCAATAGTAGCACTCATTACTGGATTGACTTGTGACAAACTTGTGCATAACTGTTATCTTTATTCTTATTGTACTGGTTTGTACAATAAACCTTTACTTATTTTATCCACCAAGTTTTTCAAGTATATATTCCTATTAGCACAGAATATAATACTATACATGATGTCACTTAAAGATATTTAAAATTGAACTGTAACATTCCCCAAAAAGTATTAGGATGTATTTAAGAAATCATTTCTATGAGACTTTCAACTATCCTGGTTATTTTCAGGAAGTAAATGTAAGTACTTGAACAAAAACAGAAAATAAACCTGAATTTTGGACAATTTTATTTATGTGAATGTGTAACATTTTTTCAGTTAAATTTAGTAAAATTTATTTAATTGTTAACAGCAAATTTGTGTCTAGTTTCTTATAACATTTTACATTTCTTAGCAGACTTATTATAACAATATCAGATACTTTATAACAAAAAGTGATAAAAATTTTATAAACCCTAGATAAAAAGAAACTAAATGAAATTGGCTCCAAACAAGTATTAAAAATTTTTCTTAAATTTAAAAGTTTTAAAAGCATCCCCTAAACTTCATGCACATATGTAATTACATCAAAATAAACATCACTTTCATCTGATGAAGACCAAAATTCATCATACAAACATTTTTTTTCTATTTTGTCATTAATTTTCTTAACATTGTTTTGGAATATTAAAATTCATATATCATTTTCTCCTATATATATATATATATATATATATATATATATATATATATAATTATTATAATTTTTATTATAATATTATAATAAAATATTTTACATTCACTATGACTGAAAAGCATTCATGTTTTGTGTTCTATGACTAAAATGTTTTTTTTATAATCTGTTATAATAATATATTATAATAATACTTTATATTGAGCACTTTTTTAAAAACTAAATGCTATGAACTATAAATTTTTACTCTATCTGTTCTTTCTCTTATATATATATATATATATATATATATATATATAGGTTTGGTTTGTTTTGTTTTACGGCATATCAACCACAATGGGTTATTTAATGCTGGCAAAATTTTTTTTTTTTACAAAATGTATAGCTGGTAATAATTTTTTAAAAAAATGTATAGTTTGTTTTGTTTGTGGCATATTAACCTCAATGGGTTATTTAATGCTGACAAGATTTTTATTTCTGGTAATATTTTCTTTTTTCAAATATTTATTGCTGATACTAATTTTTTTTAAAAGTATTTCTGGTATTAAAATCTATTTTTTCATAGTGTTTTCAGTCAGCTTGTGGGGTCAACTATTTTCCCATAGCTGGTACCCTAACAGGTGCTACCACCCCGGGTCACGGTGGACGTGGGAACACCAGCAATTAAGAGGTGGTGCCACGCTCCTCAAAACCTCCTTTTCAGAAGCCTTGCTGTTGGATGTAGTTTATCATCTTACCCAGGATGCAGATGTAGTTTATCATCAAATCCAGGACGCATTTATATATATATATATATATATATATATATATATATTAGCAGCATGGCCTGGCATTGCCCGTGCTTGATTCAAAAATCGTACGACTCATACAGCAATCGCTATCACTTGACTTAAAACATTTTTGCCCTTCCTTGCCTTTAAAGGAGTGCCCTTTGCCATTCTGATGTTGCTACATGCCTTACTGCTTGCCTATCTCACACTGTGATTTTTTTCTAAGCTCTATACTAAACATGAAATCTGTTATAAAAAAAGAACTAAACAAAATGAACACAAAATGATCAGCTTTAAAAAAGGATCCGTAACTGGAAAAAACGAATGAAAAAAGAATGTTAACAACAAATACTTTTTCACACCCAACCCAGTTCTGCGGAATCAGAATCAACGTTGAGTTTAAGCAAGCAAATGAGCCAAGTGGAGTAAAGTGCCATGCAGATTTAAATTTTACCCACTTGTGACGAATGATTTCGTTTGATTTTTTTTGCATGCTAGCATGCTAGTTAACATTCGTGTCAGTCAGCTGTTGGCTCTCACGCTGGCCAGTAGAATCTTCCTGCCTATTCGTGGCAGCCAGCTATTGGCTCTCACTCTGGCCAGTAGAAAATGGCCGCAAATTACATGAAAACTGCTGTAGAAGCATGAAAAAAATCGATTATTTCCACTATCGATGGGAGTTGGGAAATGGAAAGTAAGTCTTGGCCTTCCCGCTAACTTGGAGCATGTAAATTTTGGTGCAAATCTGTCAAAAATTGTGGTCATGCATTCGTTACACACACATCCTGCCTTTTATAGATAAAGATATATATTAATTGCATATTTTTATTCTAATCCCTACAGCATGTGATCCTGGCTGTGAAGATGTGGATTGCTTATGCCATTCCAGATATTCCGCGGTGGGTTGCAACAGAGATGTCACGCTTGGATTTCCTTCGACGAGAAGCATTCAAGGTAACATTAACTACCATCATTCACCTTTACTCAACAAAAAACAAAACACATTCTTTGCCTTTCTTTGTATAAAGTTAGACTAGAACATTTCTAATGCTTATGTCCACAGATTTCCTCTCAAATCTTTCCACAGGAGCTTTCTATGTCATGTAGCAATGACCCTACAATGTTGGCCATGAAAACTGTTGGTATTTACATAGTATTTACAGAGCTGAGCAGCAGTTGCGATGGATGAGGTTGAGAACTTTCAAAGAAATTGGGGCAAACATGAACTTTTGTGCCTGCAAAAAAATGGTGCTTCAAAAAGATGATTTTTCCATAGACACGAATATTATTATTGTAATTACATTTACCCCCTTGGCAATGCTTATTTACAAGATTCTAAAAATTATTTACCATTTATAAAAATTTATTATTTACCATTTTATAATGAAATAAATGCAAAAAGAAATCCTTTTATTCAAAAATTACAAATTTATCAAAATATATAAACCAACTAAAATGCAAAATTTATTATTTACTATTTTATAAATAATTATGAAAACAAGTTTTTTCTTCATAATTTTATAAGGGAACACTGTTAAAATAATAAGTGTCAATGGAAAAATAATTGTTTTGAAACACTTTTTTTGTGCAGGAAATCAATTTCAATGCATTCAAAAGAAATGGATTCAACATGTGTGTGTGTGGTGGGAGGTATTTATATTGAACAATATAATTGTCAAAAGTAGAGAAAGATAATTATTTTATGTCTATGCAGATAGTTGAAAAGAAGGAAAGAAGACATATTTACATACTTTGTGTGTGTGCGTGTATGATGTCCACAACGTTTCTTTGAAATTAAGAAGTCTGCTTTCCAGGTAACATCTCTCCTTCAGAGAAGAGACTCATTTTTATTTCTACAACATTTATTTTTGCTCTAGTATAAGAAGAGAAAGTCTTAGATCTTGTCTTTTATAGTCCTGTAACAGAGCGCCATCTAGTGAGCTTCTTGGCACACAAAGTGGGGGTAATCCACTTTTATCTCTTTTTTTTTTTTTTTAAATACTGAATCCTCTGTCACTATCTTTGGTCTACACAATTTTTGCTGACTACAAAAAATAATAAGCAGTAGAATCTTTTGAATTGAGAGTCTCTAAGAAATTATTTTTATTACTCCATCCACGTTTGATATGTTCACCTTTTAGCATCCTGCTACCATTTTCTTATTAATGTTGAATTTTATTCAGCTTCATACAGATTTTCAGGAAATATCAACTTCTAATTAGTCAATAAACACACAAGTGGGTGTTGTAATCCATCCATGTACAAATATTTTTCCAGCGTGTGAACAAGTCAAGTTTTCCTGCCAAATTTCTGTGAGCCTGTCACGTGATTACATGAATTATAAATAGCAGATACGAGTTTGCTCTCTCTCTCTCTCTCTCTCTGTTCCCTTTTCCTGCAAAGATGTGACCTTAAGGATTTCTGTCTCGACCACGTGCGGTCAGACGTTAAAAGCATATTCACACATGCACATATATAAAAGATTTTCCAAATTACATTACAAACATTTCCAAATAAGCATCAAGAACATTTCTCTTTGAAATACTTTTCTAAATGTACAGTTTATTCAGTATTTCTCAGCTTTATAATTCATTCAACTTTTGTGAGCTCAGATAAAAAATATTTCAATATCATTAATTCAGTCAAAGTGACATAACACCAAAACCTCTACGCATGTACATACAAAAATAAATATGTTTGTTGTTATATTTTTATTCCTTCTTGCTCTTTCATATTTTGTGGTATCTTACGTTAAATATAAATCGTGTGATCATGTTAATAACAGGTGTCTACAAATGGTCCATTTTTATTAACATACCTCAACAACCTTTTGTAGCCTTTTAGCACATCTTTTCTCACTAATATGTAAAATAAGGAACAATTCTAACAATAGACTGGAATAAAAGTTATATGACGGATAGAAGATTCATTCTTAGTGTAGATCTTATCAGGCCCAATAAGAAATTAACAACAATACCTAATAATAAAATAGAAGGATTATAACAATAGTCTGTAATAAACATTATGTGATGGATAGAAGATTCGTTCTTAGTATAGATCTTATTAGGCCCAATATGAGATCAACAACAATACCTAATAATAAAATAGAATGACTCTAACATTAAACTGTAATAAGCATTGTGATAGATCTAAAAATCGGTATATGATTTATTTTCTTTCATTTCGTCTTGGAATTTCCATAATTCCAACATCTTGGCTGTTGAATTTTGGAACAATTATGAAATAAAACCTATGAGTTGTTGATTTCTGAGTTTAACTACAGATTATTGAAATAGTAGAAAAAAAGATTTGGGGGTGGGGACAGCAGATCTCTGAAACTTGTTCTGAAATCTTAAATTTTAATAAAAATAAGAATATTGGTCATAAAAAATAGTTTGTTCAATTTAATCAGTATCAGTACTTCTCAGACACATCAACAAATTGGCTTTAAATCACTTTTTAACCCCCCCTCCCTTCTGTAAGGGGCAGAGAATATCATAGGTCAAGGTTGCTAAGGTCTCTGGTAAGAATGAATTGTCATACAACTTTCATTACAGTGTCTATATATATATAATAGTTAAAAGTAAGGAAAAAGGGTAATGTTTAACATTTGTGCTGACCAAAAAAAAAAAAAAAACTCAGTTATTCCCTTGACACCACTATTACTGTATACTTTTTTGACTCCCTCAGCAATGTTTGTTTTAAAAAACAATGATCAGAATTTTAATAAAACTCAAACATATGAAGGTGGATTTATACATTTTTTTCCTTGAATTAACTAAAACAGGTTGAAAGCATCTCTTATTTTCAAAATTTAAAAAAAAGATTTCTTTCTAAAATGGTAAATAATAAATATTACATTGTATTTGGTTCAAAGATATTTTTGTAGTCTTGTAAATACAAGGGAATCAAAAGTGTATATAATAATATCGGTGTCAAGGGAATAACTATCCTTTTGATACCCCATTTCTTTGCAGGTATAAAGGTTAAACATTACTGGTAAAAGCATCTAATGTAATATACAGGATGCGATGGATAAATTGTCGTCTAAATTACGCAAATATGAAAATTAAATTGACATCTCATTTTAACAGATATATTTACGAAAATTACGCAAAAATATCTTGAAATACTACAGAGTAAATTTATTCAATAAAATCACCATTGGCTTCAACCACGACCTTCAGACGACTTAGGAATCTCCTGCAATTCTTCTGGATGGTCTCCTTGTTTAAGTTGGTGAATGTTGCAATAATCCTTGCCTTCAATTCATCTTTGGTATTACAAGGAGTTTTGTTGGTTTCTCGCTCAAGTGCGACCCCCACATAATAATCAAGGGGGTTGCAGTCTGGGGAGTTAGGTGGACAGATGTAAGGGGTGATGTGGTCACAGAAATTGTCAGACAGTCATGACTGGGTTCTCCTGCTTGTGTGGCATGGTGCAGAGTCCTGTTGCCAGACAGAGATCTTCCAGCAGTCACCATCTTGACATAGTGCAAAAGTACCTCCTCAAGGCACATAATGTCACCATCACTAGTGATCATTCCAAAACCTTTGTAATCACCATTAGACTCATCTCTTTCTGAATTCTCTGACCTGTCTTCAGATTGACAACCAAACACACTGAAAATTTTTGTATTGGAGCTTCCGGTGCAAATTTCAAGCAGTACAGCATGCTGCTTCTAAATTTCTGATGAATTGCGTCATGATGCACTTTTTCTCGCGGACGGTACCCAACTGACCCTACTATACTGTGCAGTTGACAAAATCAAAAACAAACGACATGCGCAAAATTAAAAAATATAGAACAGGGGCAATTTACTCATCACACACTGTACATGTAGACACTAATAAAAATCACTATTTACTTGGACTTTTGTCGTCATCTTTGACAGTAGTCCAAATAATGAAAATAGTGTACATAAAACCTCATCTCAGAAATATAGACAGATACTGAAGGGGCAAAACGTTGTAATAAATATGGCAACAAAGATGATGACAATAGTCCAAATAATGTAAATAGTGTACATAATACCTCATCTCAGAAATATAGACAGATACTAATAAAAATGATGGCCATTCTTTTTGTAGATCTTTACAAGCTCAGAATTTTTTCTTTGCTTATTAAGTCAATGACTTCATTTTTATATTTTTATTAAAGGAAACACTTTAAATTTTCTTTAGCATTTCCAAATTGACATCTTTTCATTTCACATGTGCTTTGGAATTGATTGATTGCATTGTGGGTTATTTAAAGCTGAAACATATTTCTGAATATCTAAGCCACTTCAGTTTCAGGATCAATTGTTATCTACATTAAACAACATCATTTAGTAACTATCTTGAGAAAAAAAAATAAAATGCCTAGAGGATGCAATGGTCAAAATGCTGTGATAACAACAAAGATGGAGATAACATTATCTACAGTCAGACTATTATCCCCATCTTTGTTATTACAGCATTTTTGATGAATTTTGGGATGAGGAGTTAACATTATTTACAATCAAACTGTTAACTCCTCATCCCCCAGATTCGTCAAAATGCTGTAATAACAAAGATGGGGATAATAGTCTGAATGTAAATAATGGTAACTCCTCGTCCCAAAATTCAGACACAAATTAAAGAATTCATGTCTACTACATTTGAGAATTGTGCTAATTTGGTAATTTTTTTTTTATTTGTCTTTTTCAGAAAATTGAATCCCAACAGCCACCAACAACACTTCAGTCGCAACATTCATCTCCAAGCAACCACTCAAGGTCATCAACCCCGATTCATAGCATCGCTCGATCAAATTCAGTCCCTGCTACTTCCTCTTCTTCATCGACCTGTTCATCAAATTCTCATTCAACAGTCTCACCAGGTGAAGACAGCATGTCGGCTGGAGAGATTGCTTTCATCACAAGGCCTACAACATTCCAGAACTCCCTCTCAGAATCAATACTTAGACACAGAAATATTTCTGAAGCAATGGCAAAGATAGAAGCAGACGGTGAGAGCTCGACAGAATTGAAATCTTGCTCACAGTTACCCTTGCCTTCAACTACGATATATGCTTCAAGTGAGACTGATAAAAATCAATGATGCGTTCTCCTTTTTTTTTTTTTTAATTTAAATTTTTTAATATTTTCAAAATTTAAATTTGGTATAAATATATATATATATGTGTGTGTGTATATATATATATATATATATATATATATATATATATATATATATATATCATATTTTTTTCTTCCACTCATTAATTTTTTGTACAAATGTGTTTAAACTTCTTGCTAGTGTTGATGAATGACCAACCAATAACTGTTATCTAAAAATTAACATTTTGATCATCTCCATATCCGGGAGTCTTGTTAATATATATATATATATATATATATATATATATATATATATATATATAAAATTTCTTTGGGCCCAAAGATATATCTTGCAGGGAAACTTTCCAATCTGAACTCTATGCTCAATCTTAAAGAAAAATTGTTTGCAATATTTTAACCAGTAAATTTCCAGTCTTCATCAGGTGATATTGGATGGACAGATATTGTATTTTTTTTTTTTAATTTTCAGGTAAAATCTTAAACAACTTGTGGCTAACATCCAAATTAATTTTCACACATTGATGCTGGGTCAGTGATACTGAGTATCAGAAATTTTTCTGAAAGATAGAAAAAGTGTTTTAAAACAATCCAAGTAATGATTACCTTTATTTAGTTAATGTCGCTTATGTCCCAAAAAATTGATAGATTAAGGTGAGAAGCTTACCTTACAATTATGGCACAAGGCCATATTTATTGAGTAGCTTATGTAAGTGAGGATATTAAAGTAAATGAAAATCAAAAAAAAAATTCTTTTTATATTCATTGACAGATCAAATTAATAATTGAAAACAAAAAAAATCTGTTATATTTGTAGAATAACGTTGAAAGTCTAAATTTATTTATATAAAATTACCATTTAAAGTAGATAACTTCAAGTGCATTGCTATTTAAATTCAATCAAATAGAAAGGGACATGTGGATCCAAATTTGGAAAGTTTGAGGCACACTAAACAAAATGGTGAGTGTAGGGGAGTTGAATCTCTGAAATCATAGGGAAATAAATTTCTTTTAAGCCACAGCATTTGTTTACTATTCTACAGTAAGCTAAATTTTTTAAAAAAATGTGTGATAGGCTTAGCTGAATATATACAGGGATGCTTAGGGCTATACTTGTGTAGAGATCTCAAGTATCAGCTGATATGTTGTTAAAGAAAAATCTGAAAGATGTTACAGAAATTATTTTTGATGGTAATCATCTTGATAAAAAAAAGTCAGCTGAGTAAAATGGACCTCACAGCAATCATGTCCAACTGACCCTGACAAAGAGGTTCAGCTGAGTGGAGTGGACCAGATGCATGACTTCTTAGATGAAAACTGACAGGACAAAGAATGTTTGTCCTCTATCAGTCATCCCTATCAGCCAAAAACAGAGAGACCACTTGCTTGCAATGCAAAAAGGAGGGCACATGCATGTTACACCATTTACTCCCTCACCTTCCCCCACTCATCTACAGCAGAAGGTTAGAATCGTATAAACTTTGCTGAATCCTGTCTCATGGTTTTATTTTGTGGGTAACAATCTGGCCAAAGTGTTACCTTTAAGGCACAGGCATTTGACTGGAAAAAGCTTCACACTGAGATGAACCTGGTGTCTGGGTTAAGCTGCAATGCAATACTTGATGTATTATAGAAAGAGTAGAAAACAAGGAACTCTATAGGAAAACTGCAAAGTGTGATGGAATCGCTACCGTTTAGAAGACTTCAATTTGGCAACAAAGGAGGAAAGAAGAGGAGTAAAGTACTCTTGTGGGAGTCACAACAGTTACAGAAAGAGATGGAGACCAACTAAAATGTGGTTCAGTGAAAAAACAATATGGGCTTGAGATGTGAAGAATTAATGGAGATCATGGAAGAAACTCATCAGTGGTGCTCAAGTTTGCTTGGAATAGAAGATGACAATTTCTGAAATAATGTCATCATCATCATCATCTAAAATACCATGGCTGATACACCCATGAGCAAATAATCTGAAATCAGAGAGAGACTCACAGCCATGTGTTTAAGTCCCTGTCTTGTGTGTGTTCAAACAATTGTACTAAGCCTGAGGAGAGTTCATTATTTTCTGTCACAGCTCAGAGGGGCCAGTTCCTTTATTTGAGATGACATGCAAGGTGGATTTGTTTCTGAAGTTACCTTTTTCTAGCTTTTGCCTAATGAGGTAGAACCTATAAAGCAGCAGGTGGTTTGAACTAGTTTCCTTCTCCTAGACTAGTTACATAGTCTTGGGTGTCAACCAGTCTGTCTGGCTATTTTACCTATAGCTGGTGGGAAGAGATTCATACCTTTCCCAAGAATATTAGCACGCAAGTGAAAATAATGAACTTGACTGGAATTTGAACTCGGCTCTCCGATTCCTCAATCTAAGTTGCTAACCATTATTCCACCGTGCCTCCACATGGAAGGATGTAAAAGGAATAAATTTATTTTCATAAAAATTAGTTGTGATACTATGATGAAACCAAGGCTGGTCATCCAATAATATTTGCCTTTTTACTCTTGTTTTTAGCTCATCAAGAAGACGACATTATCAAATTGCATTGTTTTAGTCAGTCTAAAAAAACCTAAACTTTCATCTCAAGTGATTTCTAAAACTTTATGAACAATACTTCCTTACAGGGGAGGGTTTAAGGTTACATCATGTTGAAACACCAGTTCATTTAGGATCACCAAAGTTAAGCAACACTGAGCCTGGTCAGTACCTAGATGGGTGACTGCTTGAGAATGCCAGGTACTGATATGAAGGGAGAGTGTAATGGATAATGATGCAGAATTTTTAATCAAAGAGCCAAGTTCCAATTCCAGTTGGGTTTGTTATATTTGTTCACTTAGATGCAAATACCTTTGGGAAAGGTAGGAATCCAATTCTTCTCTTCCCAGCTATTGGTTAATTAGTAAAACTTGTATCAGTAAAAACCATTATTATTTTAACAAAAAAAAAAAACAAAACAATGAATAAATAAAATAAAATTGTGTACAAAATATTTACATTTTGGCATTGAATAGCCAATAGAGGTTGATATGCAGCTAAAAAAACAACCAACCTTATAGAGAGATTTATTATTAAACTTACCTTAGAAGGCTTCAAGACTCTAAGAGAAATAGATTAAGAACAAACTAACTAAACTAAGAATGTTTTGTGTGACAAAGATGTATTTCAAATGTAACCAACCAAGATGGATTTCTCTCCATTGTACTTCCAAAAGGTTTTCTCGATTGTATTTCTTCTACTCAGTTTTCGGATTACTGCATTAATGGCACACAAAGGAAAACTGCAGAAACTCCTAGACAATTCAATAAAGGAAGGGAAAGATGAAAGGACTAATCACCAAGATCGAATGTATGGTCATCAGCAAGAAGGCCAACCCAAGGTATGAATTGAGATGTCAAAATCAAGTGGGGAAATATTGTAAGAGGTGATGGAAAATGTGAGACTGAAATCTAATTGCACATTGGAACAGTGAAAAATGCCCTTTAAAAGCTAAGCAAAGTATAAGGAAACAGGAAAATTTTGTTAGAAGCAAAGAAAAGAGTACTGAGATGCTATATTGTATCACTCTTCTTGTGTGGCAGTGAATGCTGGACAATTTCATCATTGATAAAGAGGAGACTTGAGGAAAGAGAAATATAGTTCTACAGTAGGATGCTGAGAATATCATCGATAGGGTATCTAAACAACAAGGAAGTTTCAAGGAAAATGGAATCAGAAAGAGTTGAAATTTCTACAACACAGAAAGAAGCGTTGGAAAGCAAGAAAGATTTGGGGAAACAGTAGAATAACTAACAAGCTTGTGCAAATGGATAGCAGAATAGTGAGGTATAGTATAAAGAAAGGCTAGGAAGTTGTGGAGAGCTATGATCACTGATATCCTTAAGGGATATGGTACGCAAAAGGAGACGATATCACAATTATTAGCAATTTCAAACTTAATAGGTGCATGATTAAGTGATTAAACTGTTTGCTTTCTGACCATGAGGCCTGTGTATGTATCTTGTTATATTTCCAGGGAGATGATTTTTTGATAATATTGGCTTGGGGAGACCATTCCAATGAGTGGCACCATTGGAAAGTGCCTGAAAACCACAGAGGTTGGCCCAAGATTTGTGAGTGAAGCTGGCTAGACTAAAGCTGTCAATGGTTGTGCTAGCAGAAAGACAAAAGTCATTGTGACTGAGGGTTCAAGTGTACTTGACATATTCAAACTGTTGATCACAATAGGTTATATTCTCTCTCTTTTTCCCAGAAATTGTAACTAAGGTCCACTCATCATAGTTGCAGTATACACTATGAGTGGGCTCTGTGGGTGAAGAAGAAACACAAATATATCTGAGCAGATTGTCTGCAAATCCTAGTAAACACCATAGTCTACCAAGGCTGACAGATGCCCACTAGTATGACTACTGTGTGTATGTGATTGGTACGGAATAACATAACCTCTAGAACAGTGATTTTTAACTGGTGTGCTGTCAGAGGATGGTAGGTGGGCCACGAAAATTTTTTAAAGGTCATTAATTAAATTATTTTTAAAAGTCCAAAGCACAATAAGGGTACATATCAAAATTAAAATCCCTTTAAATTGATTATACGAGTATATCAAAGTTGTAGATATTACATCATTTTCATTATACCTTAATGGTAAATTTCCAAATATTACAAAATAAACAATAGAAATACTTTTTCTGTTCTCAACATCATATTTGTGCAAAGCAAGTTTTTCTGCAATAAACAATATTAAAAATAAAAATGAAAGATGACTGGGATCCTTGGAAGAAGATTTAAAAGTATGCCTGTTTTTTTTTTTTTTTGCTTTTAAAATCATTTTGTCCCATGGAAGGTAATAAAGCCACTAAGACGCAAGGGGTTACTGAGTGTGAAAGAATAAGAAAAAAAAGAGAAACATTATTAAGAATTGAGAATAATAAAAAAAGAGAAATCAAAAAGACATTGCATTTAAATTTTTTGAAGATCAAAGTTGGCCGGAAAGCATGGAGCCAGAAGAGAGTTCCACAGGCGAGAAGTGTGAGAGAAGAAACTATTGCATCCAGCCAATTCAACTGTAAATTGATGAGACCTTGTTGCCAATCTAGTACTGTGCTTAAATTCATAAAGTTTAGGTACCATAGTGGAAATTTATATCAGAGCCTGTCCAAAATTTAACCTTGCAAAAAACAATGTCAACCTCAGATATCTCATTAAATGTTAAATTAAAATAAACAGAAAAAATAAATATATATAATTTTTTTTTTAAGAATTTTAATTATCTTTTTCTTACAAATTATTATAAATTGTTTTGTGTTAATAAATAAATCTTAAAAACTACACTCTTCTTTTTATTCTTTTTTGATTGTCATAATTTAAGCGTGCCATGGAAATTTAATTATAGGTTCAAGTGTGCCATGAGATAAAAAGGTTGAAAAAAATTGATCCAGAACATCAAATAAAATATAAAGAAACTTGAATCGATTAACGTCCACCATAAAATCTGATATTAATTATGAAAATAGAAGAAAATCTGACACTCTCAGGATATATTGGTTGCAGAAAGGACAAACAAAAACAACGTATAGTCTTTGTAGCAAGCTTGTGTAAATAGTTGAAAGAAAAGTGATTAGGAGAGGTAGCAAAAAGACAAACTTTACTACGGGTTACAAAGGACAGGAAGTTGTGGAAAAGCACGATCGCCCACACCCTGAAGGGACAAAGCAACATAGAAGATTAAATATAATTTTGTAAGTTTCAACCTATAAATCATTAATGCCCAGTTTTCCGCTTTTGGTACAGCGGGGCTTTTTTTTCTTTTTCAAATGTTGTTTGAAATAATTTTCATTTGCAAAGGCTTTCTTATAAAAATTCAGACTGTAGAGCATAAATAGATTTAAGAGAATACAAATTTTGTTTTCAACATATCAATAGTTAAAAGTAACCTGTCATTTTTTTTTTAACTCAACTAGTCTCCCATACAACAAAATGCATGACCAGAAACATCCAAGTTCTTATTTTAGATTGTGTGTAGAGTCAAAAGAAAAAGGAACTACCACAAAATATGGAAACCTTTCATACCAAATTGAAGTTCATATCTTGGCAGACATCTTGTATTTATAATTGTGATTATTTTTTAAAACTTTTGGCAAGACTTTGCAAAAAATATTAAGCAAAATCATGGAAAGTTTTTTGACAAACTTGGCTTTCATGCCCACAAAAAATGGAGTATCAAAAAGATGTTTTTTTCCCATGACACCACTTTTATTTTAACTACCTTCACTCTTCGGCAATGTTTATTGTTTTCAAAAGTGATGAGGAGAATTGTAATAAAAACTAATCATAGGAAAATGAATTTATACATTTTCTTTGTCTAATGAGTTGGTTGGTCAACTTGACACCGCCAAAGCGAGTGGAGGTGGGCAGGCGCGGGAACTGTGATTGGTAGCTGGCTTGTTGGTGTTTTGCATAGGTGAGTTACCAAGCTCTATGTAAAGGGCTGGAATGAGAAGGAGGGCAGTTCTTTTCAGTCTCAGAAGTGGAGACTGTGCCCGTCGTTACGTCAGCAGGTGAGAAAGAGACAAAATCATTTATTTTTTCGTGACACATTCCAACACACTTTCTTCTTGAGAATTGACAACACAAATAATATACAGTAAACACTATTTATTTATTAGATTCTTTATTTACACTATTTATTATATTATTTAGTGGAATGGTTGGCAGAACATTGGCTAATTGTCAATTGATTCAAACTTTATAAAATCGTAAATTATAAGGATTTCCTCAGGTTCACATATTTTAATAATTTAGTAAATTTTTATTAATCTATGAATAAATATTATTTTGATATTTATTTCTATATAAATTGGTAAATGGTAAATATTGCATTGCATTAATTTTAATTATATTAGTTTTTATAATTTTGTAAATATAAAATTATTCTTGTAAATAAAAATTTTAAAAATAAATAGCGTTTTATATTTTTGTTGTTAATTCTCAAAAACAAAAATGTAGAAATTCACTTTCATCATATGTTTAGGTTTTATTAAAATTCTAATCATTGCTTTTTAAAATAATGAATATTGCTGAGGAGTGAAGGTAGTTAAAGAAATAGTGGTGACAAGGGGAAAACAACTTTTAGACATTCTCATTTCTTGCAGGAATAAAGATCTGAGTTTGTGTTTTTTGTTTTTCTTGTGAGTTTTGAATGAAATCATGTATCAAAAAGTTCTTTCGATCTAAAGACAGAAAAAAGAACTAAATCAAGAGTGCATGATTGTATTTTAGAAGTTGAGAATAGAACAACAAATGAAATGTTTTTTAAAAGAATGTGTCCCAAAAACAGATATCTCAGCCCTTTGGATTTTATAAGTTATTGATACAGTTAATAATTGTCAGTAGGTAGGCTGTGTTGTACCAATTTTTCAAGTGTGGAAGACCTGCCTTGAAAATCAGCATTTGAAATCCTAGCTTTTTACTTGATCTCTGACTCTGGTGAATAATCTACAACTACCTGATCCACAAAATAAGTTCCCAGCTTACACATGATCAGCTCAACCTGTTTTATATACTCGGGTGCTTATCCTTCTTAGATTTTGGATTGACTGAAACCGTAATCAGCCATGAAAGGCCCAAACATAGAATTCCCTGGTCAGAACACAAAAATTGATCATGTTCAGTCTTGTACAGTTAAATTCTAGTTCAGTTTCTTACAGTCATTTATGTGCAAATACTCTTGTATGAATCTAATATCT